AAAAGGGAGCATGATTATGTTAAAAACATTTAATCTTCCTTTTTAATAGCCAGATCTAAAACAGACATCAATGATCGTGGTTGTTTTCTAATTTCACAGCTCAGATGCTCTTTAAAAAAGCCACACTAATCTGGTCTTTCCCCGTCGATATCTCATCAAGTACCCTCAGTAAGTTAATCCAAATCGAAATTTTCATTTTAAATAATTTTGTCATTTCACCTGAAGTGGGGCTGTTCTACCTTTTAGTTTGCAGTACGTTTGAAGCTTCCAAAAAACAATATAATGTTAAGAATGATCCGTGAATGAATATATCGCGTAACTCCAGCGCCACTCAGTTACTTCAAGCAAAAAGTGTATCTTTATTGAAGCTACGAACATGGTTATCTGCTTTATTCATTACACTGGATAAATTGTTATGATGGGTCTTAGGCGACTGGTAATTGCTTTCCCTTGTGAAGACGTCATTACGAAAGAGGTACAAGTGTATCAGAGACGAGACAACCGTCGAGAGCTGGCTGCTCTTTCTGCCTTTGCTTCACGAAATTGTATGGAATTCTTGTATACTCTCCACAAACAAATGCCTGAAATATGTTACTAGTTAATGGACGTTACTAACAAGAAAAGGGGTGATAAACAAAGCAATATAACAAGCTAAACAATAGATTAAAACAAACACAGCAAGAGCTAAAAATTGTGACTTCTGGCTACTGCCTTACATTTCCCGCTGTACTTTTCCAAATTATGCCTGTATAATTATATACTGAGTACGAAACCTCCAATAGTCCTGGCAGACTCAGTCCTGTATGGGAACAACAAAGAGGTAGGAAGCACCGTAAGCCCAGCTGATATCAAGGTGGCCGTGGTTCGAATCCGAAATGGGTCTTCTGAAATTGTTTTGTTTTGGGGAGTTTTAAGGCATTCCATCCATTAGGCTGGGTCCTGCAGAAGGCCGTCGTTGAATTCGGAGGTTCCGTCTTTTATATAACCTTGCAGTGTTGAAAGGAGCTTTAAACATTTACAATTTCGCCGTTCCACTAAAGGTTGTTGTCATTTTAAAGCTTGCTCTGCGAGTACATCCTGGAATTATTCCCTGCTATTGTGTACTCTATTGATTAATTTCAAGAACAGATAGAGGTGCCAGTGGAGAACCGCCTGTTTGATCTCAGACATATTGTGGGTTGGGTGTTCTCCTTTACAAACGTTTTTTTTATGACCTTTGAGAGAATTTGCTTTTTGATCAGCTGTGTTGTTGGAGAAGCTCCTCTTCAGCTTAAAGTTAATACGATCAATGGCGTTGTTCCACAGGAATATACTAAATCGCCCTTTCGTGCCCAGAATTCGTCGAGTTCACAGCGATTTGTGTCAAATTCGGAAAAAAACAGAGATACTCCAGGATAGCAAGGAATGTGCTTTCAATGTTGGTTCCAAGCGTACATTTGCTTTTTTTCAGTTGGGAATTTCTCCTAAGTGTCAAATGTATATGTGCCAATGTGGGCACAAAGCCCAGAAATTGGAAATGGTAAAAACCTTCAAGTAAATATTTGTGTGGCAGCGTGGTGGAATCAGGCTCTCGTCAAAATAATCAAAGTGAAGAAACTTGCATTTTTCCGCAGGTTTGTGAATTTTTATCAAATTTTTGCTTTTTGGCTCAGGACCTTTCATACCCATTAAAGAACTCATTTCTGTGTGGATTTTTCTTTTTAAAAAACGTTGATTAAAGGCACCAAAAAAATGTAAATTTTCAGTTACCACGGACTCTTAAGCAAAGGAAATATCTAATCTTTGGTCGCCATTTTCTCACTAATTTTACATCTGAAAACAAGTGAACCCCACCTCCTTCTTTCGCAAATATCTCGACTTGTATTCAAGATAAATGGATATTTCTTTCATCCAAATAAAGACTGGTGAGAAAGCTTTAAGATGATACAAATAACTCTACATGGCCAAAAATTGACGAGAGCCTGATTCCACCACGATGTCTCACATATTGTTTTACTTGAACTATGACCCACAAAACAAAAAAGCCCACAACGAAATTTCTGATAAGGTCCACTGTGAAACATATATCGTGAATGACGTAGCCTATACCGAAAAATAGCAGGGAGACAGGGCCAAAAGAATATTCAAAGTTTCGATACGTCCCTTGCATCGCAACTTCAAATTGGTTGTTGTCACATAATATTTCAAGAGTTATGACCCATCTCAACTTAGAACAATTCAAACGTGTTTTAAAATCAATGAATTTTATATAAAATTAATAAAAAATTTTGGAAAATAATAGACTTTCTTGAACTTCCTGGGGTTTCGCTCAGATTGAAGGGAAAATGGTAGATCTCCAAGTGTTTACAAAAAACAATAATAAATCTCCGAAACATCGTCTGGCACTCATCAGTTTGACAACTGTCCACATCAGTCCCAAGTGTAACCAGTGATTATAATTGTTGTTTCAAACCACATAGTAATGTGTTTCTTTGAGCAATCACAAAGAATTTGAAAAAAAAAACCCCAACTGTCATAATTTACTTCGTGGAAGGAGGAGATTTAATTATGAAGTTTATTCATAACGATGATGTAAAAAATCTTCAGTTCAATCATGAGCTTGGAACATAATGTTAGCACTGTATTGTAACATATCGGGGAAGAGATGGAGGGAACTCTTAAGTTTTAACAATGTTACTGGCAGGTCTTTATATAATATATATATATA